ATTTGAATATTTAGCATATTTAAAATAATATATTTTTGTTTCTATTATTTAATTTAAAAAAAAAAAAAAGTACGTTGAAGCTTTTCCCAATACTTGTTTTGTATAATTTAGTAAATACCCTATTCTATTTAGGTAATTTTTTGTTTTATTAAAATAAACAAGTAAGAAAGCTCTAGTCGAGACTACGAGAACCCCATGAACCCTTCGATCAAGAGCTATTTCAATTACTTTTCACGTCTTTCTGCTTACACAAGAAACTCACACAAACGCGCATGGGCTGCAGTGTGGATAGACATCTTCATTGAAATTTCAGATCATGATTATAACGATGCGTGCATAAGCCAAAGCACAAGCCTCTAGTATTTTAAATATGCTTTTTACAAATTTAGTGGTGAGGGGTGAATATTAGAGTGTGGGGGGAGGGGGAGAATTATAATAAAAATCGAAATTGCATAAAGTAAAATAAAATGAATCTATATTTTTAGACTCCAGCTTTAAAGATGTAGGAGATATAGTTTAATAACTGATGTTCGATGTTCGATAAAATTTAAACGCGATATCCGCGCTATATATACGGATATTTAAAAGAAAATTTGAAGTCTCCAGCTCTTATATCTTTTGAGATCGACGAGCTCATACATACGGACAGACAGACGGACGGACTAAATCGACTCAACTCCTTACCCTGATCAAGAATATATGTACATTGTGGGGTATGACACGCATTTTTCTGCCTGGTAGATACATTTCAACAAGATTATTATACCTTGATTTCCCATTTTCAATGGGTATAAAAACGTTTAAAAAGACTTAAAAGATTGCTCTAAAGCTATAAAATCGTACTGTGCCAATACATTAGTTTCTCACTGTATGTATGTACATTCCAAATTTAAATTCTCTACTTGTATTCTCTATATTTTACTTACCATTGTCAATCGTTTCAGCAAATTTTTCCAGTCCAATCAATGTATTGTTGTGGTTTAAAAATGGTATATCATCATCAATTTGCTTCATACATTCCTCCGCCATTTGCATAGAACTACTCACGGACGACCACATAGATTCCAACATAGTCGTTCCACTTTGACAGCGTGTAACTGGTCTTAAAGTTATTGTCAAATTTGAAACATTAAGAGAACTATCATTTGTCATAAGAGCATTCCAAGGTACCATTGCCGTTAGGCATCCAATATGCCCAGATATGACTTCAAAAGCCCAACCTTGATCTTCAAATAAATCATTAAGGGCCTAAAATTAGATTATTTAAAATAAAGATATGAAACTTATATTGATAAAGTTATTTATTTAATCAGCGTTAAAATTTATGAGCTACTGGCTTAAAAATTGCATACATTCGAGTCTTGATTATTTGTACCCCGCTAAATCGAAAAAATTCTATCCCCTTGAAAGAAATTCGTTTATGATAATTCTTGATAATTTAAATTTCTATGAATGTCGAAATACAAATCATCCTATTCCTACTTCAAATTATCGGGATTCTACTGTATATATTAATATTCCACCTAAAAACTAGTTAATAAACAAGTAAGAAAGCTGTAGTAGAGATGGTAATATCGATAGTATGGATGGAGTTTCTGTTGTTAAATAGATATAGATTGATATTAATATTTAAATCTATTTTACACAAACAATTTTATATACAGTAGAATCCGGTTATAGCGACACTCAAGGGACCGTCGATTTTACGTCGCTATACCCGGAGGACGCTTTAACCAGAAAGAGTAAAAAATATATTTTTTCTTTTTCATTTTTTTTACGGTTGCCATGTTCGTAATAACTTTTACTATAAAACAATTTAAATTTTTAATCAAAACAACCATTTTTTATAAACTTCTTTC